TTTCTGAGATCTGACAAGGAAGTTGCTCATTTTTGAAATGGGCAACAGCCATGCCCTTTTCACGGAATGATTTTTATCCGAGTTTCATGAAATAGGCATCAGTTTTGCCTATTTCACCCTATTTAACCTTTTACGTTTATTCTCAAGACTGTTTGAAAAATCACGTGAGATGTGCTGAAAACTTTTCTTTTCTCATTTGAATTTATCACAATGTTTTACTTATGACAATGATGGTTAATTTGATTATTGGATGGAAGAACTATCGCTCATCAACGTGGAAAAATGTACTTCATGCGATTTCAACCTTAAAATTGAGCAGCAAGATGGAGATGTATCTTTGTGGAATATTTTGTTCCAATTTCTGACAAGAATGTTGGCACCTGTTCTGATTTAGAGCTATTGTAAAGGTACGTGAACGTGATGCATGATTGGTATGTCTTAAAGTTTAATATTTGATCCCTCTAAAACCGACACCGGAATCTATTAGAGAAACCCCAACTGACTGCGGTGTGGTATCAAACAATACAATCGTGACAGTTTAACGATGTATGCGATCCACGAGGTTGTAGTAATGAATATAAAAAAAGAAAATATAAAACGATCTTGAATTTAGCAAACTACTTGGCCCAATCAAAAACAAGTAACTCGTATCTTTATAATCACAGCGGTTAACTGACTTTATTCGGAATATGTTAAAATTTACAAGTGTACGATACATTTTACAATATTTTTCAGGGATATCTGGCGCGTGAGAGGTTTGTATATTCACAGCTTTAATCCATTGATTAGGTATTTTAAATTAATATATAGTAATGTAACTGTAAGTTTCTTTACCTTAATAAAAAACGACTAAATTTTTGATGTAACAACTTATTTCATGTTATGTTACTCAAGAGACATAAAATTAAATGAATATTCTAGCAGACGTAAAAATCTTCATTATAATATTTAGTTACTTAATATTATATAGATACTTGACATTTATATTTTCAGTAGTGATTTGTTTCTACCGACGAGGTTTGTAATTGTGTCTGCAAACAGAGCTGTCAATCAATGCTCGTTCATTTTTAGACAGCTCACAGCTTAGTACCCTAAGCATCTCCTGCATCTCCTGCAGTAGTGCTGTGGTTTAGGACTAAGGCGGTTTGCAGTGTCCTACAAATAATTAATTTATTTATTCAAATAACCTTTCGTTCATTAACTTATTTTCAGATATCTCTATGTGTATCGAAAACAAAGCTTCCTCTTGTCGCTGTTTATTTAATGACGTTGGATTTAGTTAACGTGTTAACTGGTTTAGAGTTCTATTTCATAACGTTAGAAAAAAACGTGTGTGCTGAAATTTTGATTCTGTGTGTGTGTGTGTGTGTGTGTGTGTGTGTGTGTGTGTGTGTGTGTGTGTGGTAGGGGGGATGGTATGATGCGCGAGATGTGTCTCCTGGACAGTAATTTAATCTGTTACGGTTTCTTCTAACTGCGAATCTACTGCATTTGCGAAGGGTATGGCCTAATAAGGGGGTAAAAAGATAATAAGGCTAATAAGGGGGTAAGGGGCCAAACCATATTGATTATCGTGATACCCATAAGAAAGAGAAAAATAATTGCCGTCAATTCCCAAAAAATCAACCTCCTAGGAAAATCTGGTACAGAGATACAACGAGAAACGATTTTTCAATTTCAATTTTTTTCTCGGCTAGAATGTGTCTCATAACATTCTACAACATATACTGTTTTCAAATGTTTAAACACTGTGACCAATAATGAAGAAAATTAACACCAATTTTTATTTTCCTAAAAATGTGAAATTCGCACCAAAATGTGATTGGTATTTTTTTAACCAATGTATAAACAATTTGTATTTAAATTATTGAAAGTCTCACTTACCAGCATGGTTTACAACTTATTGCTCTCAAATGCTTGTTTTTATGTGGAAAGTATTTATATTATCGAAATAAAATCATCAAACCCCTTTGATTTTTAGATTTGTGTATTGTTTTTAATATAAATCAAATTACTCGGTTTTAGGTATATTAATCATTCATGTTGTTAATATAAATCAAATTACTCAGTTGTAGGTTTATTAATCATTGACAATTATGCAAACCTAAACAATTAATCAATGTCATTGTTTTTCTTCAATAACTGGGATCAGGCGGTCGCTTATAAAGAGTCTACTAAAAATCAACTAATGAGCACGTGCCAAATAATAAATGATCGCAGCTATGTGGGACAAGCATCCCAGGTTGCGACCTCCGTTCAAAATAATATCGTTGCACTCACGTTGGATTTTAATGTCGAAAAGAGCTGGGAGGGCTCCTCCGGCGCACCACTCCGACGATTTTTGCGTCACGAACCACGTGACCACAGCACGGGCACTTCATTTGAAAAGCGAGACCAGACCTTGGCCAATATATTGCACGGAGAGCGAGGAGTGTTGAGAAACATTTTGAATGTGGCGTAAAGCGACAATTTGCAACGGTGAACAATCAGAATAAATAACAAAATGAAGGTGTAATTGAAATTTAAACAAATGCAATATTTTAAAAAAAATGTACGTATCTATTTCTGTTTCAATGTCTTGTAGTTGCGATAATTTTGACATTTGAAATTCCTGCTAATCTTATGACGCCTGAAGCCCAACTGGGGCCTGGTTCCTGAAGCCCAATTGGCTGAAGGTGGATGCTCTAGAGCCCACGCTTCTCTTTCCAACATGGATATTCCTAGTGAGTTTGGTACGTAATCAATGAAACGCATATAAGATCTCGAGTTCATATGTCGTAATTGAATCTGTGTTTAAATTTTGGAAAAAAACATTGTTTTCAATCACATTTAGGCGCCAATTTCAAATTTTTAAACTGATAAATTGGTTTTAATTTTTATTTCACTCTCGTCCACATTGTTTAAAATTATGAAAGTAATATATATTGTAGAATGTTATGAAACACATTTTAGGGGGAAAAGAGACAGCACTTCAACGTCATCACGTCGAAAATTAATTTCAAAACTCCATTTTTTCTATTTGATTTTGGCGTCAAAATTAGTTGGCAAAACTACCTTTAAATTCAACTATTTCCCCTCGTCTTTGCAATTTTTTTAGTCGGATATATGCAATAGACGCTGAGGAAGATAAAACTTGAAAAACACGTTTCTCGTCGTATCTCTGCAACAGATTGCCCTCGGAGGTTGAATTTTTTGGAAATCAAAGGCATTTTTTACTCTCTTTCATACGATTATCATGATTATCGATATGGTTTGGGCATTTTTCATTCCCTTATTCGGCTATACTCTTTCCATCTCTATTATCGATTAACATTTCACGATCACATTTGCAATTTAAAAAACACAAGCTGTTATTTTCCTCGTTTTTTGTTTCGGCGTTTGTTATCTCTTTAAAAACGAGAACCCATTTATACTGTGACATGATTTGTGTTTATAGCAGTATTAAAGTTTTCCAGAAATTGGGGTGTTAAAAAAATGCTGAGTTTTAACAATTATTTCTATTGCGTTCACATACGTGTGCTATTGGCTAGGGCACCAATGCCAGCACACACACACACACACACACACACACACTTGTGACTAAACTTGATTTCGCCAGATGGTCCTCGCGACCCGGCGACCTTCGCGGGCAGACGCGCGTCGCCACCGCCCCCGCCCCCGCCCGCCCCTCCGCCCCCGTCGCCCCGCCCGCGCCCCCGTCGTCGCCCCCGCGGCGGCGGCGGCGGCGCGCCACCCCGTCCGCCATGGCGCGGCGTGCGCCAGCCGCTGAGCTTCAGTGTGCGCGCCATCTTGCAGATGCAGGACGACCATGCGCGCCATGCAGCTGAAATGGGAGGACGGACGACGCGGTGCGCTGGTGCGCCGTGGCCTCGACGACATGGTCCATGCGGAAGACCCGAGACCGGAAGGAGGGGTGGGGGGCTCGCGTGCGCTTAGCGCCGCCGGGCGCGCAACCGCCAGGGCCGTTTCTCCCGTAAGGGTAGTGCGTGACTTTATCTCGGGAGTTGCGTGTGCTTCCCTCGATGGGATGGCGGGTTTTCCCTCAACCAGGTATCTCCCAGCTGCCGGGGCGGCGTCCAACGGTACATTGCTCTAAGATCCGACTGGCTCCACACATCTTGGTAGTCGGTGGCACGTGTGTCTTACACATCTTTAGGCACCCTTACTGACTTTAATTTTTTTTTTAAATTCAAGTTTAACAAATCCCATAATGGTATATGTTAGTTCAGCCAGTGAGCAGACACGGTCAGATGAAAGTTATTTTGGTTTTGCTATGATTGCTGTCAGCATTTTGAACACTGTGAGCATTGTCTCACCTCTAGCACAAGTATTAACAATTGATGTTGACGTCTCCGCAACTCTTGACGCTACAAGTAGAACGACTTTTCGCGAAACCAATTCCGCGCAGCGGTTCAGATGCCACTCAGACAGTCGCATGTTAAGAACCTGATGGGAAAGAGAATAAAGTAAGCTCTGTTGGCGTCCTACAAAGCGCCTGATCAACCGGATGTCGAAACTGGCTCAAAGCGAGGTGAAAATTGATAATAAAATGCAGTTCTTCCAGACTTAATGCGGCTATCGCTATTGAGGCGTATAACTTTACTACAGCGAGCGTGATTGCAATTTTGACTTAATTGACAATTTACTTTGTACTGCAGTGTCCGGGGAGAAAACGCCGAAATTTCGGAAATAAGCCTTGAAGCAATTTTAAAGCTTAGTTTTGTCGATGAACAACTTGAATATTCTGAATGGCAGAAACCGCAATAAGCACACAAAAGATAGGTCTGAAAAATTGCTCTCTAGGTAAAAAAATTTGCATAGCAGGAGCTCAGAAACAGTTAACTCTTATATTAAAAAAAAAGAATATATCTTGTTCAGAAAGAAAATAAAATTAACTGAGAACTAAAGGAGCAGTGAATAACCGGTTGTATTTTTCTTTTTTAATTTCTGAGTTAATTGTCACCAACTGAGCGTGTGTATTGGTGGCGTGGCAGGTGCCGATGACTGCAGAAGTGTCGTGCGTCGGCTGCGGCCGCGCTGGAGCACGGCAGACCCGCCCCCCCACCTTCGTACCCGCCCCACAGCGCCGGCCCTCGCCCACCTACACCTCGGACGACACCGCGCCCCCGGGCCCGCCCCTCGCCCCGCCACTCCTCGCCCGCGACGCGTCCCCGCACACGCGCCCGCCGCCAGCGCTTCACTCGCTGCCCGCCACGCGCCTGCGCGCCGCCCTCTCCCCGCGCCCTCGCCCTCGCCCGCTCCCGCGCTCGCTCTCCTGCGGGCCCGGCCCCCGGCCTCCTGGCACTGCGCGCCGGCGCCCCCGCACGCCGACGCGCAGCCCTGCGCCGCTCTCTCCTTCTGTACAACGGTACGTGCGCGCGCTTCGTTTATTCGTTTATTCGTTTATTCGTTTATTCGTTTATTCTTTATTCGTTTTATTCGTTTATTCGTTTATTCCTCGTTTATTCGTTTATTCGTTATTCGATTTATCGTTTATTCGTTTATTCGTTTATTCGTTTTATTCGTTTATTCGTTTATTCGTTTATTCGGTTATTCGTTATCGTTTATTCGTTTATTCGTTTATTCGTTTATTCGTTATTCGTTTATTCGTTTATTCGTTTATTCGTTTATTCGTTTTATTCGTTTATTCGTTTATTCGTTTATTCGTTTATTCGTTTATTCGTTTATTCGTTTATTCGTTATTCGTTTGTATTCGTTTATTCGTTTATTCGTTTATTCGCATTTATTCGTTTATTCGTTTATTCGTTTATTTCGTTTATTCGTTTATTCGTTTTATTCGTTTATTTCGTTTATTCGTGTTTCGTTTATTCGTTTATTCGTTTATTCGTTTATTCGTTTATTCGTTTATTTCGTTTATTCGTTTAATTCGATTTATTCGTTTATTCGTTTATTCGTTTATTCGTTTATTCGTTGATTCGTTATTCGTTTATTTCGTTTATTCGTTTATTCGTTATTCGTTTATTCGTTTATTCGTTTATTCGTTATTCGTTTATTTCGTTTATTCGTTTATTCGTTATCGTTTTATTTCGTTTATTCGTTTATTCGTTTATTCGTTTATTCGTTTATTCGTTTATTCGTTTATCGTTTATTCGTTTATTCGTTTATTCGTTTATTCGTTTATTCCGTTTATCGTTTATTCGTTTATTCGTTTATTCGTTTTATTCGTTTATTCGTTTATTCGTTTTATTCGTTTATTCGTTGATTCGTTTATTCGTTTTATTTCGTTATTCGTTATTCGTTTATTGTTTATTTCGTTTATTCGTTATTCGTTTATTCGTTTATTCGTTTATTCGTTTTATTCGTTTATTTCACTTAGTATAAGCGACGATTAACCCGCGATGCGATGCCTTGTTTCGTCAGCGAACCGCGCGTGCATGGGCTCCCCGCCCCGCGGCCGGGACCGTTCGCGGACTACGCCACCGAGCAGGCGCTGTCCTCGTGCCCGTCCGGCCTCCCGGCCTGCCCGCCGCCCGCGCTTGCTGACTCCCTCCATGCACAGGTGCGTCACAATGAAGGTTACGATGATCACTTTCAAACAGGGATATTGCATCTGTTGGGATATTGTATGAAATGGAATTTTAATAAAGACACAAGGCAACGTGATAACGCATTAATTAGTTGCTTATTAGTTATGTTACTTATTCGGCCTCCTTTAACACGCTTATTTTCACTAACTTCCTTCAGTGTTTTGCCTAATAGGGCTGGACTAATATCTAAGTGGTAGGGAAGCCCGGAGCCATTGGCATGGCGCAACGGCATTGACGTGGCTGCTGACGGGTTTCCTTTTCCAGGCGCGCCTGCCGGGGCCGCAGCAGGCGTTCCAAAGCCCGAACCCGCCGATGGGGTTGGCGCCGCGCTTCGCCCCTGGCGCATCGCAGTTCCCGCCGAGCGGAGGGGGCAATGTGGCGGCGCAGTCGCCCTACTGCAGCAGCCCGCGGCCCACGGCTGGTGCACAGGTGGGGGATGGGCAGTGGTTGCATGTCTGTTTACTCTAGGCTGACCGGCGCGAGATGCGATTGCTGAAGTTTCCACCGATGCCTAAACGTCTATATCCCCCCCTAAAGTGACCTGGCAAGGGAACGGCCGAGAAAGGAAGAGGGAAGGCAAGCTCTAATAGGGAGCCGTAAAAGTGGGAGGTGTAGTGACGTTGCAGCTCCCTATTAGAATTTGCCTTCCCTCCTTTTCGTGCGTGACATTGACAGGCCACTTACGAGTACAAAATTCGAGGTATAGAGCTATACTGGTGCTCGATGCAGTTCAAAACATGCCTCGCTCCTAACACCCAAGATTGAATTCCAAAGCTTATTTTCAAGGTGATGTATTCCAGATTCAGTGCGTGATCTTGGCTGTCCGGGTATACCAGCCCTGAGGAAGACCACGACAAGATGGTCGAAACGTCGGCAACACAGTCTTCGACACGGCGTCACCCGGACAGCCCAGATCACGCACATGACTCTGACCACGGAAGCCTACGACTTCATATCCCACATTCAGTTTGTTTTCTAGTTTTACGTATCAATGACAATATCAACCATGAAGAAGGTTCTCCGTCATGCTTCTAAATATTATGTTCTAGTCCACCTTGCACATTTAAAAATTTAAAATTTAAAATGCAACAATAGTACGAGCCGTCATTGCGTGTTCTGGTGACTGATGCAGATTTCTGCTGCGCCTGCGTCGTCGTACACACCGTACGCTGGTCCCGCAGCCCCCGCCCCAGGCCCCGCCCCTCTCTACTTCTACGGCCCTGCGCATCCGCCCCCGCCCCCGCCGACAACCGCGCCGCAGCTCGCCGCCTCGAGTGCCGGCGCCGGCGCCGCCGCCATCAACAGGTGAACAGGGATCCGCTGCGGTGGCTCTACGCGTCGCCTGCTGTCGCTGCAGTGCATCTGCAACCGGGAGGTCCAAGGGTTCCACTCCCGGCGGGGGCGAGATTTTCGACACTAGCTACGTAGTGTAACGTATTAGCCAGCGTGCCTCGTGGCATCTATTTGGGGACCCTTGTAGGAGAACTTCCTCCGCACAGCAAGGAGAGACAGTGTTTTTTCCTTAAGCCAACGCGAACGCGAAACGAGCGTTAACCATGCTTTGCAGCGCATTTCCGTGTGGCCCGCAGTTAGCTGCAATGCCCGCCCCACTTCCCTGGCCATCCCTATCCTTTCGGACATCTATGGCTGATCTGAAAATAGAGAAAAGAACATGGTCAGGAAAGATAATAGCCGTTCGGCGAGCTTTTGGCGTTGTTTACAGCAATTTTCATGCTAGTATTGGCGTCTCGCCTATTGTAGCATATCTCTCGGGCGCTTGTACGTGGCCGTGGGATCAGGCTCGTACAAAGATAAATTTATTATTATTTGACTATTTAATTTTGAATAGAACTTTTTCGCTAAGTTTTTAAAGTGCTCTTCTAGAAGCGGTAGCTTACTGCAGCGGTAAATCTCCGCTTCGTAATAAGACATTGGCGCGCATAGTACTCTTACGTAGGCACGCAATTTTGAACTCCGCGGGAATACGGGAGACACAAGGCTTTGGGGGTCTTAATGAAAACGAGACCCCGAACCTTAATGGTTAGCAACTAGACCGCGGTCGGGTTTTGTGGCCGTGACTAGTTAGCGTCCACTGCAGCCTCATTATATAACGGAGTGCACAAGAGCCAGTGGGTGGAGCTGGTTAGGACCAGTGGGAGAACCTCGTGCATTTGCAACAAAAACTGCCGGCCACGACGGTGCATCTGCGGGCAAGGCTCGCGAGGCAAGTCACGTGTTGACGAGCCTGTTGAGGACTTTGTTATCCTTGGATGACTGCGGTCACGTGGGAGCGATGCTGTGTGCGTGCTCGGAGGTGAGGAGTGGTTGAGTGCCACGATTTACGCCGATTCTCAATCGGGTAAGACCCATCCTGCGATCGAGGCAAACCATCAGTTGGTACGCCAGTACGGACTTTGTGTCCCAGTGTGACATCCGGTCACGGAAGATTTGCTTTGTGCGCGCTTCAAAAGTAGGAGTGGCGAATACCACAATCGAAACCGATTATCAATCGGGTTTGGATCGCTCCCGCGATCAGGAGATAGTAGGTCTATCAAAGTTAAGGTGTAAGGAGAAAATTCATTGTAAATATTTGTGTGAGTATCCATGACGTCACAGTAGCTGGGTCGAATTCAACGCACTGTCTGAAGGAAAATTCTACGGGGCGGCTGCTCTTTGAGCGGCAGTTTCTCTGCGGTTTCTCCGATCAACAGGAGCCACTGGCCGCGAGCGATCTTTCCGTCCTCTTCCTTGTCCTATTTTCACCCCTCGCTATAACACACACGTTCACATACAGGCCCAGACTACCAAGCATGCCCGGACACCAGTCGCAATCATAGAGTTCTTCCCGGTAGGGGCGGTGCCTCGCTGGTGTGATATACCTGGTCGGGTGAAAACCGCCATCCGACGGGTAAGTCAGCGCATTCAGGTGGGGAAGATAACTGCTATCTTTTGCGATAAAATTTACATTACATTTGCGGGACTAATGGCCCTTGAAGTCCCCGCACCCGGAAACAAAATGATCACTCAATCAATTGATGACTCTTATCTCGGCCAGGTTTTCGTTCAGTTTGCCTTGATCCACTGAGCAAATGCTAAGATGATCCCTCCTTTTGTTTTGAGGCATAAATACAGCTTCGCTACCTACGGGCGTTCTCATATTGGGTAGCTGCGGAAGGAGTGGGCCTGGGGAGGCAGAGTGGCTCTTTCGTCAGCAATACTAGCGCGCCAGGAAAATCTCTCAGCTATGACACCTTGCTGGTGAGAATGCTAGCAGCAGAAAGTATGTTGTTAGCACGAGCTGCAGCTTGTAGCAAACGAAAACGCAAATACCGTACTTATCACTATCGTAACAGATGCTGTAAGAGATGTCCCCTTCGCATCTTTCCCCCGGATGTGGTTGCTATCAATTTCAGTGCGAATTTTGGATACGAGGTCCTGACTCGGCTCAGTGCGGAGAGTCTTTTCTGGCGCATCATATGCAATCGCCTCTCGAATGGCTCGTGGGCCGCGTGGTAGATTTCTGTGAGGTGGTCCCGGTTTCGATTCCCGGCAAAAACGAATCTTTCTTATAAAAATATTCTCCTCAAAATGCTGTGTGACGAAAGAAAGCTCAGGCAGGTCAAATAAGTTAGATACGGTGAATGAAAACGGACCAGGCCTGGAGCAGGGCTAGCTGGCAAAACTGGGATTAATCCGACTCTAAAATGCTTAATACGTACTATAAAATCAAATATAAAGTTCGTTTTCCATTGGAGATGTGTCTTTAACTACTCGGGAGCGAAAACGTCTAGTTTTCAAATGTTGCCAGCCATGATGGTTGGTATCTTCATATTCAACAGTGTGTTGGACTCTCGAGGTCTTGAGTGGAATAATGTGACCTTCGGGGGTTGTGATCAGAGTTCTACTTAGGCACTAACTTCTCCTCGACATAGTACGTGGTCTCGCACCAGGAAAAGAAAGGTAAGTGTCTCTGGTGGTCGAAGAAACGTGCGCAGATTATACTTATCCTCATACCGCATATAGAGATTTTAGTTTCTTGACGACAAATTAAATTAAAGTAACTATGGTCAGTATAATATAATTACTGTATATAATGTGATCTTATCTTTTCATCAAAGGTATTCGATTAGAAAGAAATTTGAGATTTCTAATTAGCAAAATTTCAAGACTTGTGGTCACTTTCTCTTATTAACCGATTGTATATTATAAACACAAACTTTTAACATCTTACAAGTAAAAGAATGATCACTTCTCTGCATTTTTTGTTTATTACGTAATTTTCAATACAACTGAAGTTGGTTTTAGTTGTTTTGTTCTGCGATCGATACAAAGATATCCAGTTTTTTAAGGTCGAAAATTGACTCTTTTAAATACAAATATTGATGCGTGTTTGTAAACAAGACGTACTTCAATCGTTTGACTCGTGTATTCCTTTAAAACAAATGTTCAGTGATTATAATTATAAGTGACGCATTACGTACGCTGCACTGTATAATATAGCCATAGTATACAATAGTGATTAGAGATGGTAGATTTTAGCAATTGCTAAAATTGCCAAATTTTACCAAACGCTGTAAACAATAGTAACTGTATGTTTGACGGTCGGTGCAGTATATTTTTCAAAGTTTCCAAACTGCGGTAAAATGCGAAATCAGTCGCAAAATACGAAATGGTCGTGAATCTGCGATATAATTGAGAAATTGCACTTTATGGTTTCTTTCGTGTTTGTTTTCTAACTAGAGGTGCACATCGACAATAACTCAACGATGTTTGAAAACATTTAATTGGAGAGGGGTCGTGTGTATTAATGTATAATTAAGATTTAACTGACAAAGGAAAGTAAAAAGTTATAAGAACAATTAAGAAACTTAACGTGAAAGCCAGAGCGCTGAGGGTCATCTCAAGGGGCCTGAGTGTCTTTTGTTTGCAGTGCGGAGAAGGCTACGGGAAGAAGAGGGAGTCGCTACGCCTACGGTGCACGCGTTACATCTTAATCTTTTATTTTTACTTTCCTGTACACGTACGTATATATACGGAGTATTGTACGTAGTACAGAGAAAGTTATGTAATGCTACCGAAAATTGATTTCGAGATTTCAACGAAAATACACGTCCTCTGATACCGAAAAAGTGTTGTTTTTTTTGGTTTATTTTTTCCAAAGCTCCGTCCGTCTGTTCGTCTGTCTGGTGTATGCGAACACTTGTGCCGGAACAATGCGTACGATTTTTTTCCAAATTAAAGAAACTCCTGATGATCTTTTGACTCCTGCCGAAGACAGGCCTTGTTTTCGAAATACGATTTAAAAACTATTAAAGTGCTAAATTCTACTATCACTAACAATGATATAAAAGCATGATGGTATACATTAAATTAAATCAAATGAAACTGGTGGTGTTAAAACACCACGTTCCTTTTTGCCTGTACTTTCACGCAAAAGTTCTTGAAAAGAACTCAACTTTATTAATTATCTTATTTCAAAATCTATCTCTAAGGAACAGACTTTATTCACCGGAAAAATCTCTATCGTCATAATTGTAGTTGAAGGAAGCCAGCGAAACAATTTTGAATTCTCGCAGTTTTCGAAAAAACAGTTTTATCGCACATGAAACCTTCGTCCCGTCACACTATCCAGTAACAAATTTAATCAAAAAATATGGAGCGATTTCTTTTTAAATTTTGAAAATATTCCAGATGTATCACTTATGTTTTCCATAAAATTAAAATATCGGTTTCAAATTCAAGGAACTGCAACATCAGCCAGATCGACTGGAGAAAAACCATTTTAGAGTAAATCGGCTGTACGGTTTAGCCGGCAGTATTGATCACAGAGGGGCAGAAGGATGGACGGACTGACGGACGGACGGACTGACGGACGGACTGACGGACGGACTGACGGACGGACTGACGGACGGACTGACGGACGGACTAATGTAATTGATGTAATTGATGACGTTTTGCCATCTTTAGATTTTTCGATATCAAAGACCCGCAAAATATGGAGTTGGGCTACACCACGTGTTGGAGGATTTTTCTTCTAAATTTAGCAACTGGATTAATTCACTTTTTCGTTTCCAGGGCTCGTTTTTCTGCCGAACATTTGCCGCTTTCGCTCTCAGCATTACTTAACTTACTGCGTAAGCCGCAGCGAGAAAATAAAAGCATTTTAGTCTACACCGAACGAAGCGGAGCGATAAAAGCGCGGTGTGCGCCAGCTGTCCGCCGCAGAAGCCGTCGGCACCGCCGTGCGACGGGTGCAAGCCCGACGCGTCGTCGAGGCGTCGGCGAGCAAGCCGCCCTCCGCCGCCGCCGCCGCTCCGGCCGGGGACGCCGCGCCCCCGCCCCGCCCCCGCCCCCGCCCCGCCCCCGCCGCCGCCGCTCTCGCCGCCTTCTCCTCGTGCGACACGTGTCCATCGGCGACCCGCCGTCGCCGTCCAGCGGCGTCCAGTCTCAAGTCGGTAAGAAGACCAGTGTTCCAATAGCGAAGGGCCACGCGAACGTACGAAGGCAAATGAAAATAGATTATGGAATTAGTTTATACCGCTCATCTTTATTGTGGCGAGGACATTTTGAAAACGAGCCACGTTACGAGCAAGTTTTTCAAATTTGTGTAACATTATAAATGAGTTGCGTACGCTGTTTATTTTATCACAGCATTATACATTTATAAGAGAATCAAACTTAATTTTGCGAACAGCTTTCTTGTGGCGTCTCGGATATTTGACATCTGTGCGAGAACCCTGTGGTCAGATGTTACGTTACCTCCACTCTCCACGAGTTCTCTCGCTGCGATTGGCTTGACAGCGTGTGATGACGCAATCGATCTTGTTGTAAAATGAAATAGTACGTCATCATTTGTGTGGTAAAAGGCCCTTTTGTGAATGACTTCTTGCAACAGAGAACGTCGTTTATAATGCTTGGTATACATTACACGTACAAAAGTTGGCATAGGACTGATTTTCAGGGTTAACTGAATTTTCGAAAATTTCAAAAGTTTGAATTATTTCCGGCGTCTTCCTACACCACAATTTAAATTATAAATTTGTTTCAAAGACGCATTGTTTACTCAAGTAACATGCTCACAATTTGGATCCCTTTGCGAGTGTGGAATATTTTTCCGGGCGTAATTGCGTCCAACAAAGTGACGGAAATGGTGACAATTATATATACAAATTAGAGATAGGGATTTTTCCTTGATGAGTTTTTTTCCTCATAATCAATTTTTTCAATAAGAACGTGTACATCTTTTAACATTTTGCAGTTTTTTTAGCACAAATTACAAAAACAAACTTTGCTCAAAAACGGCTCCAAATATTTTCTTAAACCTTTGGTAGGGATAGAGCTAAATGCACTTATAAGATAAACCCCATATTGCTTTGTCCTTTCGTTTTCTCAAAAAAAAAAAAAAAAAAAAAAATACAAAAATGTATTTTTTTTATTTGTCTCTCACGTCGTAAATATATTATATTTCGTGTCGTATATATATTATACTTAGAACAATTGGTTCACATTACTGTATTTATGAGTATACGTGCTATAGATAATGTCAGATTAAGTTCCTCGAAAACTTAACAGTTTTCTGCGAAAATAAGTTCAAAATTCGTCATTTTCAAGACGCTCAACGTCATTTTCTCAAAAACGGTTCCAAATTTATTTTTCAAACGTTTCCAAATATTCTGATAATTATACTCTTTAATATTACAAAAAGTTCATTTTCCTTTTTTTTTGGTTTTTTCAAATTACACAAATGTATTTTTAATATGTTTCATGTCTGTATTATGCACATTTCCAGTGATTTCTAAACATTGGACTAGTACTTCTTCAAAATGACTTCATATGAAGTTTTTTGAAAACTCAATAGTTTTCTGTGAAAAGAGGCCCATATTCCGCATTAACACCATTTTCGGCTCTCGCCATTTTCGCCACCAACGTTAAACTCTATTTTCTTAAATATGGCTACAAATTTTTCATTAAAAAGTTTTCATATAGGACAGAGTTTTGCTCTTCTTCTATGTTTTTTAGGAGTAATATTTGGATTTCTTCTATTAGTATGCGAAAATTAAGAAAGTTTAAAAAAAGTACTTTGGGCGGCGATAGATGGCAGCAAGAATGTGCCAAGCCTAATAGCAAGCCGACACCAAAGGAAGTAGAAAATCTAAGACGGGAAAGTCTGTGCCATTGTGTTGCACTAGTAGTTTATATTTTTTATTAATGAAATAGTATTTTATAAAATATCAAACTTATTGGCATACTGATAATGAATGTTCCCTGTAAATGTAAATAAATTGTGAAGAATAATTTCGGGGAAAGGTACATTAACTATAAAAGTAAGAACATTTTCGGCAAACGCCATTTAAAAAAGGTCAGTACTTGGTACTGCTCTGCTAGAACATTTACATCACTATATTCCCTTTCATTCCTATTGTAACGTATTAGCCAATGTGCTCATGGCATCTATTTGGGGAGCTTGAAAGAGGATTAGCCTCGCCACAGGGGTTTTCCATAAAGGGAAGAACGCGGAACGGGAGACACAAGGCTTTGGGAGTATCCGGCCTATAGAAACTTTTCACTGTTATAAAAGCGAGGGGGTGGCGTGACGTAGTAGGTCACGTGGGCCTCGCCTATATAACAGAGTGTACAGACCAGTGGGTGGGTTTGGAGACAGTGGGAGAACTCGTGCGTGTGCACAAAACTTGGCGCAACGACGTGCATATGCGAGCGAGGCTCGAGTCACTAGTTGACGAAGCCTGCGACTTCAGGTCCTTGGGTGACTGTGCGGTCACGGGGGAGCGATGCTGTGTGCGTGCTCCGAGGTGAAGAGTGGTTGAGTGCCACGATTCAACGCCGATTCTCAATCGGATAAGATCGCTCCTGCGATCGAGGCAAACCAGCCGTTGGTGCGCCAGAACGGACTTTGTGTCCCAGCGTGACATCCGTCACGGAAGCTAGGCTTTGTGCGCGCTTCAAAAGTAGGAGTGGCGAATGCACAATCAAAACCATCTTCAATCGGGTTTTGGATCGCTTCCGCGATCAGGGGATAGTAGGTCTATCAGAGCTGGGTGTAAATAGATTATTACGTGTATATATTTGTTTGTTTTCTTGTTAATAATATATTTGTTATCGAAAGCTCCTGTGTCTGTGGTCCGCTGTGAGTATCCATGCACGTCACACTAGTGTACACTTACTCAGTACTATTAATGTTCGACCCTAAGCCGCCATCCTGATTGAGGTTTTTCTGGGTTTACTCAATCGCTTAAGGCGTATGTCGGGACGGTACTAGATTTGTTCTCCCAGACGTAAATGTACAGCTTGTCTCCCCAACTTAAAATGTTACTACTCTAAATGTATGTAAATTCAGTGGTTAGGCGGAAGAGCAGGCCCTATGGCCTGAGCCTCGCCATTAATAAAGACATTATATTATTTATTATTATTATATTATTATTATTATTTATTATTATTATTATTATTATTATTATTATTATTATTATTATTATTATTATTATTATTATATTCTAGATCATCTGTTTCAGCGGAAGAGACCAATGTAACCAACGTGTTAACAAATCTATGTTTTAATAACTTTAAGTAACCCTACATGCCCTACTTGTATGCCGCGTTAAAAAGGGGGCGTGTGTAATGGACACTTAGAACATTTAAATAAAATTTAAAGGGATATCCAGGCGACCCAGAAGATATGTTAATATATTTGGATAGAAAAAGGTTTGGTATATTTATTTAGCAAACAAAAAATGATAATTTGACCAATTTCGTGGTACCCTCTTCCCCTAAGCCGTCGTTCCTAATTTTGACTTATGATATTCATTAAACATATTTATATGTGGGTAACTTTCTAAAAGTTAATATAAATCGCTAGAATACCGGAGAATGTAGAGAACAAGAAGTTTTGCAGAAGCGCTTGGTCCGTCAGACTGCTCCTGCGTCAGTTCATTTTGTCGCCATCGCTATTATAAAAGGCTCCCTTCCTTCCTGCTATATCGACGTAAATAATCTAGGAATTCACATATAGACAACACTCTTAGCTGAACTACGCAAGTAAATAAGATTTGCCAACAAGTCTTCGAAGGCATCTATTCTCTAAAACGCGGACGAGTACTACCTGCAAGCACACGCCTTATTCATTCACATGATCATGCATAATTTCGGGTTAGGGACCGTGTTTCTGACTTAAGGACGACCCGCAATTACTACCTAGTGTCCAGCCCTGCGAAATCGCAGCATTTGCTTCCCTTCGCTGCGGACCCGGCGTCCTTTGGGAGCACACGCGTGCTGTTTGGCAACCCGGCGGTGAATTCCACTCCCGATAATTTAAATACGATCCGAATTACATGCTTCCTTCTGAAAAACGACTCCGGAATTTCAGATTGATTGATTGATTGATGCATTGGTTAGTGTCTCCGAGCTCGTCAACAGCTAAGATCATTATTCCTGTAAGTGTAGTGCATGTTTTTTTTTCGCGGGAGGTGGCGGTAATCTTCCCTCGCTGGATGGCGAGATCCAGCGCCGACCTACCTACCGCGTCGGTTTGAGGGATTTTCCCCCAAGCAGGTATCTCCTACCGCGGGACATGCTCTAGGATCCCGACCGATCTACAGGCACGTGTGGTTGTGAAGAGCATGTAAGTTTACAGTTTACCCTCGTTCAAGAAAGATTCTAACGACCACAACAAATATATGCGTTTGTTAGGACGCATACACACACACACACCGCCTCACCGGCTGCGATGATTCAGTTACACCGCCGATTCCGCCGCGTCGCCATTGACCGACCGGAAGGTTCTAGGGTTCGATCCCAGACGGTGGCGGATTTTCATCTAGGTACACAGCTGGGTCCACTTCAACCACCGTCTGGAGGGGAGTTCATGTCCGCTTCATTGGTCAGCAGGAGAGCCGAAGAAAATAAAAAGTCGTAAGGCAGTAGATACACGAGGGCCTCTTTCACCCTTAACGTTTGTAAAATTAATCTCTCGACGCACCAGGAGAGGTGGTTCAGGGCATAAACTGATGTCACTGCAGATTCTCAGATTGGGAGGTCGTAATGTTCGGGTCCCGTCTGTGGCACGGTTTTCGACACTAGCCAGACGCTATGTCGAGTTCTGCCTCTGTCTGTAGGAGAATTCTAGCGATTAGCTGCTCGGCTAATGTCGACTCTGATCGGTAGTTTTTCGTGGTTTCTCCGATCAATATCAGGCGAATGCCGGAGCACTACCCTAGCAGACGGGCCACTGGCCGCGCGAGATCTTCCCTTCATCTTGCTTGTCCTACCCTTACCCCTTAAACACTTACACTAACATGCACTACAGTACCATACCTGCCGCGAGCTTAGAGCATGTCCCGACTGGGCCAGTGAGCCGCTGGTGGAAGATATCTGGTTTGGAGAAAACCCCGCTTGCCAGCGAGCAGGTCGGCGCCGGATTTCTCCGTCCATCGGGACAAGATTACCGCCATCTTCCAAGCAAAAAACTTTCACTTCACTTACGGGGCTAATAATCTTAGCAGTTGACGCACCCGGAAACACTATCAATCAATCAATCAATCATTTCTCAAAGCAAGAAAAATGACTTACTTTGTACGAGTAGCCTTGGCTCAAAAACTTTGCATATCTTGTGTAAAAAGAAAAAAAAACAGCGAGAAAACAAATGACACGTTACTAACGCAGGCACAACAAATTTCTGGACGACTCCAGAAGTAGCTATCATTGAACCGTTCGGAGATATCCAGCTCCCATTGAGAAGATTTGTGAACGCGTGGATGGCTGTACCACGCATGCGCAATGTCTCCCCTCTCGTGAGACCCGCTCGCACTTCAGCGTGTGCACTGGTACATCGCGCTTACTCTAACTACACACCATACGCGTGAGCAGGATAAAGAAAGAGCACGGTTGGGCAAAATACTTTAAATTTAGTATTTAAATCCTTTGCTAAAAAATACTTTATAAATAAGTATTTAAATACATACACAAAATTCATTAGGGCTTGACGTCCTGTATACATACGTAGTTAAAATACCTGAAATACTCAAAATACTATAAACATATAATTTTGTATTATATATTTTTATTGTAGCATTAAATTGTAATTGTCAATTGCAATAAATTAGTAATTGACAGTCGTACACATTTCTGAACAATAACTGTTTTAATGTATCGTAACCAAACCAAATTCTACCAACAACTAACTTTTCCAACAAATCATCAGACATATATAAACATAATAAACTTCTAGTTGGCGAATATTAGCGTGGATGAACACATGGTAGTGTTATAACGAATAAACGTTTTTTTTATTGCCGAATAATTGTCCAGCATTTTTAATGATATACATTTATCATTAAAAATTAAGAGAATCCAAATTCAATACATGAAAGGAACTTTTATTCTTGTGTCAATGAGGTGCATTCACTAGCGGAATCAAACAAAAAGAAATTATCCTCTTTCCAAACTATCTTCTACTTAGTCTGTATTTAAAGTATTTGAAGTATTTCTTTTTTTAAATGCACCCACTTTATGTATTTAAATTCACCTCTAAACTACATGTCCAAAAAACCTAAAAAATACAATTTATCAAATACAAAATGTATTTAAAATACAAGTACTTAAATACTGCCCAACCCTAAGCAAGGGAGGAGCGCTACATTTTTCTGGACTTCCTTGTGCACTAATGCTTCTAGTTCACACATGACATTTTACTTGGAAATAAATAAAACATACTAGATGGAGAGAGAAATTACAACTAGGGCAGGCCATCTTACCGCTCCCCGAAAACCTTTACAAAACCATAAGGCGTTTTTACGGTAACGGAATGCGATATTGTGCAGGGGCATTGTAAATTTTCAAGGGGGCCCCGGCCGCGCCGTGTGCCCTTCCTCGTGCCAGGGGGCTGAGTGAGTGTGTGTATGTGTGCTCGCTTACCGCTCCCCGAAAACGTTTACAAAACCACAAGGCGTTGATCATATTTACGGTAACGGGAATTGCGATATTGCGCGGCGGGGCATTGTAAATTTTGAAGGGCCCGCCGCGCCGTGTGCCCTCCCCTTGCCAGGGGGCTGAGCTGTGTGTGTGTGCGCGGGCGCAGCGGCCGCGCGCGCGGCGCGCGGGCCGGGGCCCGCAGCAAGCGTCGACGCCGCGTGCGAGCGGGGCGGCGCCTGCAGCGGCGCCTGCTGAAGGCGGCGCGCGACGGCCGCCTGCAGAGGTGCGCCCTGCTCAGCGCCGGCGCCCGCCCGACGGCCCCGCGCCGGCCACTGGACAGCCCTGCACAGGTCCAGCGTCGCCTTTATCCTCCTCCTCTTCCTCCTCTTCCTCCTCCTCCTCCTCCTCTTCTTCTTCTTCTTCTTCTCTGCCCGTGTGGGTGAAGTATAATTTACAGTAGTTAGAAAACAACGAGTTTAAGCCGTTTAAATATTTATATACAATTGGCTTGTACATATATTGCGCCTGATTTCTGGACATAATATATATATATATATATATATATATATATATTATATATAATATATATATATATATATATATATATATATGAAAGCGCTGGAAAACGGTTGGTCACTGTAATATATATATATATATATATATTATATTATAATATATATATACACACACACACACATTTCATCACTCCTTTCTAGATATTTCCGGTCGCATTTTTTCAAAAATGTTTCACTAAGGCAAATCTTTTCGCCTTGTCTTCGACTCTAGAGAACTCTTTTGTTGAGTTCTGACTCTCTCTCTCTCTCTCTCTCTCTCTCTCTCTCTCTATATATATATATAAATATATATATATATATATATATATATCTTGCCTTAGCGAGAACATTCTTTTGAGAAGAAGTTAGCGGCCGGAAATGTGGTAGGGAAAAGTGATGTACTAATGTTAATGAACAGTGCCGCCTCCACTGACGATTTCTGAAAGCAATATGAACTCTTCACAGTAACTCAGAAGAGGTACTTTGAGTTATTTCAATATGAATTTGAAAATATCTTGATAATTCAATTAATTAATTTTGCATAACGTGAATTTTACGAAACTTGGTTTAGTTTCTTCTTGATTGTTATATTGGTTACTCTTCTTTTGCTCTTTACCTTATATAATTGGGAGAAAAAAGGTTAGTATTATTGGATACGCGAGTAAATGTGAAGCAATGGGCTACCCGGATGCATATTTCCATGAGCTGCCACTTTTCGGGAAAGTACATGCACTGCACTAACGGGTGCAATGAATGACCATTGCAGTCGGTGCGCCCGGAAATACAGAAGTATCAGTTAATGACTCATGAATCGGTTTGCAGGGCGGCAGCGAAGGCTCACGCGGAGGTGGTGTCGCTGCTGCTCTCTCGCGGCGCGAGCCCCAACGCGCGCGACTGCTACGGGCGCACGCCGCTGCACATGGCCGCCTACAAGGTAAGTGGGCGAGTGAGTGGAGAATCTGGACGCGGCAGCTACTTTGCACGGGAAGCGGTGGCTCAGGGCATCAATGGATGCCTCTGAAGTGTCTCTCAGCGGGAGGTTGTAGATTCGAGTCCCGACGGTGGCAGGATTTTTTTCGACTCTAGTAACAAAGCTAGGTCCAATTCAGCCGTTTCGCGGAGGAGAACTCTAGCGGTCGGCTGCACTGGTCGGTAGTAGTCCGTGTTTTTTTTTCGGTGAACATCAGGCGCAATGCCGGAGCTATTGCGAACGGTCCAGGCACCGCGATCTTTCCTTCTCTCGTCCTTGTTCCGTACTCGTCCCTTACTTATACGAACACACACTACAATATCACACATGTCGGGACCACTCGGGAGGTTAGTCATGGTTGGGGCGGTGCCGCGCTGATGGGACACGTCTGGCTGAGGTAACAAGACATGGCGACGCCGAATCTCACCATCCGAAGATCACCGTCGCCTCGACCGTGATAAAAACTTGTACTAGTCTAACGGGACTAATGAATCTGTCAGTTTACGCACTCGGGAACACGAAACAATCAATACAACTACTATTTCGCGTGTAGAATCAAATTCGCACATCGTAATCAAGTAAGGTAGCACAGCATTTTGCTCTTTCTCCGACCTCGGGGACCGCGCGCAAGCCACTCGAGTGCAAACACGGAGAATTAGGAAGGGCGGGGAAGAGACTAGGTCCTAGGTTGGTTAGCGTGCACGCTTTCCACGGCGCAATCCCGGGTTCGATTCTCGGCCGGGGAAAAATGATCACTATGGGCTTTCTTCACAAATGTCTCAGTATCTGTCGCTGTGTGGCGATGAGAAAGCCGACGGTGATGAAGGGCTATGAAGACTAGTGTAGACGGTGGAGGGATGTCTTCGGGCTAACCACACGAACCCATGCCCGAAAGGTTGGGCCACCGCTGGTCGGCAAAGACCCTTATCGGGCTGTCGAGCCAAAAGACATAATCGGGAATGAAACTCGCTTTAGGAGTGGGGGCCACCAACGATGATGGGCAATTCGAACTGTGGCGCGTAAATTGAAAGAGAAATCGGAGAGTGGCGGACTGTTATGTACAGTTCAAGTAATATCGCCTTTTGTATTATATTGGAATTGTGTGTTGTCGATAGAAATATGTGAAATAACAACTTAAAATGAATGAGATATACGTATTTAATCCAACGTTTTTTAATTGCTTTTAATTTTTTTAAAAAGGCCATTTCATTAAAATATTGATGAAGAGTGAGCATAAACTAAAATCAAAAAAGGAAAATGTCAATACATAGCAGTGCACAGAAGAACGTTAACAGTAAATTAATGGCCGTTGTAGCTAGAAATAAGGGATGTTACCCATTTAAATAAACGGGCAAATAATTTCACAGCACGGATCATTCAATTAGCTGCCAAGCATACAATTTACGCGCCGCGTCATCCACCCGGTGCAACGCCAGGCTTCTTCCCAGCCCTCAAAGCTTCCTAATCCCCACTTCTCGCGGGCAGGCGTCCGGTTCTCGAGTTCGGAATGCCCGCCGAAGCAGGCGTGGTGCAGACCTAAAGTAAAGGCGGCGTTTGTTATGTTCCGTGATGCGCGGGTGTTGACACATTGCCGGCCAAATTACTTCAAATTTGGCGCCTTGTCTTTTTTAACTGGACGTTTGATGTTCTTTGAAGACGTTTCAGAGGCAAGGATGATACATTTTAAACTTGGGGCCTCAGAGATTAATTTTCCCCCAAAAACCGCGCGAATTTCTTCTCTGTTGATCAAACATTCATTTCTTCGTACAAAGTTCCTTGAAGTTGATTGTCAACTTCTTTCTATTAGTTTGGAGCGTCACCGAAAGATCGCACCAGCTCCTGGTGGCGCGGCTCCCGCGTAAAATTGGCATTGTCGAAATACTAGGAATTTTCTATCGCAGACGCCTGCTCGCATTGACACCACAAGCTAATGCGGAAAGCTGAGTAAAAGCGTTTTGAACGTCTTCAAGGTTCGATCCAGAGTGTGCCAGGCACTGGATGTAGTAGAAACACGAAGCAAAAAGGCACGGAATTCGTAAGGAAAGGTTTAATTTCATTTGGACTGAGGCAACTGTGACAACTTCAATACTCGTTAATTCTTTCTCCAAGTTGCAATCCTTGTCAATTGTATGTCATCTCTTTTCCAGAACACTCTTGTCTGACAAAAACTACTGTGATAGAAGAGGCAATGTTCTATTGCCATTTCCATCAAAATGCTCTCCCAACTTTTCTTCGACTATTTCGCCGCCTAAACAGCGGGGGTTCGGTGTAATCGGCGCAGTAATATCCAGAATCCGGATTCGCAGGCGGGATCTCTGCGCTCGGTGACATAACATAGGAAGGAGACGACTACACTGAAGGTTTTCTCGAAAACATTGTCTTCCTAGCTGTTCAGTAGGCAGCCTCGGTCAAAAAACTTTGCGTATACATTTCATGAAAGAAGGCACACAAGGAAACTAAACAAGTCACTGAGGCATGCGCAACACATTTCTGGTGAGTATAGGGAATACAATCGCTACCTCGGTTTGGACCACAGATTGTAATTATGTTTCCTAAACAGTGATGGATGGCTTAAGCGGTGAGAGATGGCTTAAGATAGAGAGCGATAGATGGCTTAAGATTCGTATATTTCGCACCTTTTAACGGTCGTCGAACGCAAATATCCCGACGCCGAACTGCACTTCGGTTCGCTTCGGCCTGCACTTTCCCCCTCTAGGGATCTCGCGCCTCAGCCGGGGCAAGCTTTATACTCCGGTTTAAACATAGTACCGCCTTAAGGCCACGAGCTGGGCATGGAGAGTACACTGTCATCCGACCGGGAGCTTCGCTACGATTACATTTTTGGCTTTTGAGCTACCGCTTGGATGGCAATGTCTCCTTTTCCTTCCAACTCGTGACCTTGATGCGCCACTACAAGTAAATTAAAGTATAAGCTCCCGACATAAGTGCTTTGTAGTGCATGTGTACTGGTAGAGGAGATAGTGATGAACAAGAAAAAATGCGGATTAGTCCGTGGTTCGTTTGTCAGTTAAGTACACCGGAATACGCCCGGTTTTACCCGGTAGGGATGGCCACACTAACTGGAACGCTTCTTTAAAATATTGATTAATCAAAGTTTACTTTCTATTAAAAGAACGCTATTTGTCGATAAATGATCGATACTCATTTCATAGTATTAGGAATATTTATCTCACATGTTTTGAGATTTACATCGAACATGTTCAACTTTTTTTACGATATACTTTTACAATGCCCGCTCCAAAAGTCATAGAAAAATAAAATTTTGAAATATAAATCACCCTGTATATTTATCGTCTCATCGTAGAACGAGTGTGAGTATTCCTGCCCTATGCACATCGGCCGCAAGTTCATGGAAACAAAGTAGTAATAGTTTTTTGATATATTTGTCACAGTGAAATCTTTTGCCTCCGTAAGTCTTTCAATTGCGTAAAAAAGAGATAATCGGACGCATCTGGACTGTGGTATGGAGATTCGAAAATGTTTCAAATAGTTGACGTGATTTTGCTACAACGTGAGGTCTGACAATGTTGTGGAGGAACAAAACGCTGTTGTGGAATAACGATAACTGCAGTTCTCGCTGTTCAATCCTTTATTTTCTCAATACCGTACCTTACGCAATTAAATATCGTCAACGTTAATGGGGGCTCGTCCAGGCATGAATTCAATCAGCAATAGATGATATCGTCCATTTGTAAAAAAAATAGTTATTGTATTATTAACCACGAAACAAAATACTATAGATTTCACGTGCAAATGTTTCATGACCCAAAATTTTTGCATATCTTAACTAAAACAAAAACAGGAAAACAAGAGCTGCTATTCAGGATTTCTCTTTGACGTATAACCGCTTGCGTCAGCCAAGTAAGAATATTTCGCCAATGCTGCGCTGCCCAAACTTGCCAGCATTAAATTATAACTGGAGCAAGCGCTATGGCAATGTTCGGAAACATTTGGCACTATTTGTGGGACGCAGAGCACATACAGTTGCCAGCGCTTTCCGCGGCGGAACAAAGAAACTAGCCAAGGCATTTCACCTGTGCGAGCGAACTTCTAAGCAACCAGCGGGGTCTTCTTCCTAATGGTGACGAATCGGACCCGTCGTCTCGAGATCGGTGAACGACAGCGAAAAACGAGTGGGACGATGACATTATTTGTTGTAGTTAAAATGAGGGTGGTGCGTGTTTACTGATTTAAAAAAAAAGTTCGAAAGTGCTTTGGAAATTTTTGCGTTGGACAGGATCACTGCAGGATTATATTAATCGCGTATGCCGAAGGCCGTAGAGAACTTCGGGAAGTGTAGCGAAGTGTCAATATATCGGAATATGTTTGGTGTTTGTCAAAAAGTACTTTTGAATATAATGCTTTAGAAATTATGTGTTAGAGATACTCGAGCATGTTTAATGTTAATCGCGTAGGCCGAAGGACAGAACCTCGTCATGAAATTAGACAAGGTACCGAAGCGTCAATACGTCTTAATATTTAAGGTTATAAATACGACGCCATTACGCATGCAGGTGCATGTTGACGTTCGCTTATGAAAATGCGTCGATTCCTTCTCGTTCGTTACTGTAAGGAAGAACTGTCCTATTTATTTTTATCGTTTAAATTTTAAATAATGTAGTTAAATATCCGGTTTTAAAAAATTGCTTAAATCGATAATCGATGTTGTAATTTTTGTTCAATAATCGATTTTTCGAAATCGTGCAGTGAAGTGTGTAAGGAGTTCTTAAACTTTATGTGGATAGTGTTTGCAAGTCGTGAATTTGAAAGATGTAACCCGACAATTTTCAGAGTAATCTTCTGCACATATGCCGGCATCCAATGACGAGATTCGATTGTCGGGTCCCCTTATTCTCCCGATTTTGTCAATAACGACAAATAAGGTTCATGGCTAACTCTTCACCTCGTTTTGCCAGAACCACTTCATAAAAAATTCAACACAAATGTATAATAGTAATGGAAATAAAAGGAAATGCGATCTGTATAGTAGCAATGTAATACAGAGGAAATTTAGAGTAGATTTTAACTCGTGTGAAATCAAATGTTTCAGGAATGATCTAATTTATTTGTTTATAATTTGCAGGTTATTTGTATATTGAGGCTACATTAATTATCACAAAAGAAATATTTATCAGCGTGTGATTATAATTGCCGTACATTTACCATTAATAATATAAGAAAGTGTTTTATAGTAAAATTGAGGGATTATATCATGGCCCCCTTCAGTAAAGGTTGGAGCATACAAACTGGCAACGCTGCAGAAATGCAGCTCTTTAGGCCTAGGATTACTGGTCTCAAGAAACAGATAAACAAGGAACTTTTCTTGCAGGACAGTGAAGGACCATAAATGTAATTTAAAATTTGAACATTTTTGGTTAGTAATATTTCTTAGGTGTTCATTACTTTACAATATACATTTGTCTCTATATTTCAGTCTGACCAGAAAGCTTGCAAAGTAGATAAAAATCTACAAACCACAATGATTTTTATTAAGGTTTGTAGCATCTGAATATGGATGGATGGGAAAGATGTAAGTTTGATATAAGTTAAAAAAAGTCAAGAAATTTTATTAACTGTTTTATTGAGTTAAGGAATGCGATTTCCTTTTTTGTTGCTTACTTTTCCCCTTTATACGATAATTAATCTGCTTCCCTTTATTGTTTAAGAGAAGATTGCAAAATATAGAGATAATTTTATCACATGTCCTACTGTTGTCATTTCCACTACACAATGGTTGAATACAAAAATACGTATGTGTTGGTTTTGAGACACAATTGAAATTTTACTAAGAGGCAGAGGGAATTGTTTTTTACATCCATGTTGTAAAATCTGTGTCTTATATTGTTTTGAGATTAAAACATTCATTACGCAAAAAACGTGCTTCACTTCTATATACAAATTAGAAAGAATTCTTAATCCACCCTTATTAATTTCCTGTACATAATTATAATCGATTGGGTTTTCAGATTTAAAATGCAAAATGCACACAAAGAAGTTCATTCTCTTTGAGATAGAGAATGCTGCATATCCAGCAACACAAATACGAGAACCCATATCAAATTCTTGCTTCATATAGTCACTCAAAATATCACTGAAATCATTCAGCTCAATATGCACAGTCTGATATTTCTCATCCAAGACGCGATTTAGGTTACCCAACCTTCACATACGTAATGCACTGAATTTACAAGATTTTAATCCTAACAGGCTTTTCACTCTCAATGTTTTTCACAGTTCAAAATTGCTGGAACAAAAACATTGTAATTTCCTCCACACAACTGACGATAAGTACTGAATTTTCTTTCTATATTATGTATTTTACTTTCCTTGGCCTATGCCATGGCAAAACAAATCTAACGCCCCACACATTAAGGTTATGTTTGATAAAATAATCAACACGGCTGTACACTGATAATGTGCTGAATATGCGTCATTTGTGAGGCAACCCTTCCCTACTTTTTTCATTTCTCCTGCAACAAAAGAAAACTTTCTAGAAAATTCAGCCTCTCATCACTTATACACTTAAAGGGAATTTCCAATTTGTTCTTGGTATGTTATCTTTAAATTGCGATTTTATATTTACAATTCTATAGCAAGAAAGGAATTTGTATAAGAACTGCTCCAGTAACTAACTCCAATTTACTTCTCGGCCTTTCCTTCCATTCTCCAAATGCATCCTTGTACTTTTCATTTCGTGAAATATCACATTTACGAAAATGTTCGATGCACACAACAGATGTTGAAGGCTGCCAGTTGACACGTGGAATATTTCATATACAATGTGCCTTTTAATTCAGGTGTTGATGGAAACGTGAATACAGGAATATAGCCTTCCTGCTGACATGATAAAGCATAACTGCTTGAACATTTCTGGACACAGAACCTAGGAACCATCTCTAAATAAGAATATGCAATCATTCTTATATACCCTGCTATCAAAATAAAGTTCAAATATCAGGAAAATGTAATTACTTGTACAAATTTCTGTGGATTGGTTTGCACTTGTACACGTAAGCTTCCGCGGCGTCTCCCGGATAGCCGAGAATTTTGGTTTGCACTTGCCTTGTTTTATATCAAAAATAATAATAATTCTTATTAGCATTCTACTTTCACAGAAAATTTATCCAAACAAACAAAAGAATACCAGTGAAATTATATTTGTCTAATACACCTTTAAGCAGTTTTTTTAGTAAGATCAACACAGAAAGATGAAATAGCGTTCACATTTTATTTTCCAACTGGCACGCCAATTTCATTTACAAACAGATTTCTCCTACAAAGATTGCAAAAAGTAATTTATACCATTGAAGATGAGTTTATTTGCGAGATATCACAACACACATAATATAAATACAAGTTTTTTTTTTCAAACTTACGAATGCCTACCTTTGAAAAACACAATTTGAACCACGTGCACTGCGAGCGAAGCGATGCGCGTCGTCATATTGCCAAATTTCAACACTCCGACCTTCACTCTAGGAAGTCATGGCTATATTCAAGTTTATGTAGTTAGCTATACTACTCTTTGATATATAAATAAAAAATGTGTATTTTACCTCATGGCATGTTGCAATCGAAATTTCTTGTATTATCTTATATTTGTTGTATTATCCATCTTGCAAAGGAAAAATCATGACAGAAGATACATATAAGTTCAATGAAAGCGTACTGATAGTTCTTTTCTGTTTCTATGGTTTCTTATTTTAACGTGTAGTAACGTAAAGCTTGTACGACATACAAGAACAATTTTTTTGAAGACACGTTATTTTCTATTGACGACAATGATAACTTACTATGACTTTTAATTTCCCGACAAGCAAACACTGCCTATCATCTTCGCATTTCTCGAAATGTTTCATTTAATGGTTTTGCCTTGGAGGACCCCCAGTGCGAATGCGTGGCTTTGCTCATCGGAGCACTCTCGGACCTCGAGCTACGCGACCGCTCGGGTCGCACGCCGCTGCACTCTGCCGCCAAGTGCGGTAACTGCAAGGCGGTGCAGGCGCTCCTGGCGGCCGGTGCCCGCACCAGTGCCAAGGACAACAAGGGGAGGACGCCATTCGACGTGGCCCGGGCGGATTGCTTGCGGTTTTTCCTCCCGCCCAACTACGTTATATCGTGACTGAGATACCGTCTCATCGAAAGATTCTCCATTTATTAAATCCAACAATAGAAGTTAAATGCTCATCATGCGCTTACTACGTACGTTCTTTGTACAATCCTTTGATAATTAACCAATACATATTTTATATTACAGAAGAAATTATTTTTGTTTTATTGAGTATAATGCTGTCAATGAAGTGAATTTTAGTATGATTAGGAATGCTACGTTACAAATTACCGATTCATTATAAACAAAATTAGTGTGTGGCCGACAGTTCGTTTTAACGTGGAAACGCCAGTTCCGTGGCCATGTTGAAAATACAGGGATGAGCTTGCTCGGCACACCGATTTTTGTTCGTTCTGCACAGTACCAGATACGCCACCAACCACGTGATCACGACGCAAGAACTTCGTCTCAAAAAACACGTCAGATATGACAGCCATGCTGCATGTCAAGTGTTGAGAAACATTTATAAAGTGTCATTTTTCAACGGTGACCAATAATGACACAATGAAGGTGTTGAAATAAAATATGCGTTTGAGGCAAGCTCAGAAACCCCACAACACCCACACTGCGTCGGCGAAGCCAGAGCAGATCACCGGGGCACAGGCGCGCCGAATAAGTTCTCACAGAAACAGCGCTATCTGTAATTTGCGGCCCGCGGCGCGTCGGCGGCGAACTTCTAGCTTATGAAAAACGCGGAAGGGTTCGCCGTGACGTCACACCATCCCTTTAAATATCGGAGGAATTGACCGATCCTTCTTTCTGTACGAGACGCCGAGGTAAGAAGACGAGTGCGTTGAACAAGACCGATAGGGCATAGAGAGAGCAGAAGCGAGTAGAAGTGCGCTGTAGTAAAGTTAGCAAGTTGTAATAGTCAAGTGTTCAACAGTTTATTTGAACTTAGCGAAGTAGAAGTGACTTTTACAGTATCCAAAAGAAAGCAATTTCTAAATATGGATTTATTCCAACTACAATCAGTACAGAGATAGACAAATTCAAGCCAGATCCAAAGGCGCTTGACTGTCTCTCTGCTCGCCGGGCGCGGCTTTTAAAGCCGGCTCGGGCTGCGGGTCCGCTGGCCAGCCGTCAGGTACGGGTGCGCCCGTCCGCTCCGGAGCCCGGTCGAGCGTGACGGCGCCGCGGCGTCTGCTATCGCCGCCCTCTCCTGAGTGGCGCCGGAACCAATTTCCGGCGGCACTTTTAAAGGCACGCAGTCGGCCACAGCAACTTTAGGAAATTAGACAGAATTCGACAGTGGTGCAGAAGTTATTCGAACTGGGCTCAGTTATAGATTTAGGCGGAAATAATAGGCGTGAGGAAGAGGAGCTAAGCGTAGCTTTCACGAGGCATCATAAGACTTTCAATTGGGTAACACAAGTCTAAAGTGTTGAGGTACGCCGAAATTACGCGTGTAACACGCGTCTGGTCTGAACATCACGCGTCGGCGTGCTACTGAAGCAGGAGAAGACGAAGTGTGAGGAGCCGGGGGCCAAGCAAAAAGAGCGTAGGAGGCGATTCCAAGGGAAGGAAGACCTGGGCGACAGCGTTGGCGCAACGTTGAGGGACATCTGGACGGGAGAGCGGAGCGACGGTGGCCGAAACTGGGGCAAGGTTTCGCGACGGCGAAGAAGCCAGGTTTGCGAGCCGCACACTGTGCATGCGAACCGCAGGTAACACATTTTGTAAAGGGATTGAGAGTAGGCAGACACGAGAGAGCGTTGGCTTCCGCGGCCGGAGTCAGTATTTACTAGGCTGTCGGGTGACGCCGCGTCCATGGCGAAGGTGCCGACGTTTCGGTCGCTATTCTGCGACCTTCCGAAGGTCGCAGAATAGCGACCGAAAACGTCGGCACCCGTTCGCCATGGACGAGGCGTCACCCGGACAGCCTAGTAAAAGGCAGACACGAATGCTAGAGCAGCAGCGGAAAGGTTACAGTTCTAAATTTGCATAATCACGTAGATTGTCGTATGAACTAGATCACGGACAAATAACTGAAAGAGAACCTTGTACACCAGTAATATAGTTCATTCATGTG